GTCGGAGGTGACAGAGGGGTTGATGGGGGTTGGGAGTTGAGCCGGTAATCGATATCTCCAAAGTAAACGAAGAGAGAGATAGAGAAGGGGGTGGCAGCAGCAGCAGGAGGAACGGTTGCAGAGACAGGGGCCGGGGGGGAGGGGGTTGATAGAAGTAGCGGGGAAGAGAGAAGCAAGGCTCGTCGAGGGAAAACGGAGCGAGAAAGAGGCAGAGAGAGACGGATAGACGCGGGGCGGTGAGGAGGGAGGAGAATTACAGAGACAGAGAGAGAAATTGATGTCGAGGGTTTGTCAACCACCGACAAGTATTATATACGTGCAAGCCGGAGACGCACGCGGGGTCGAGGGCGCGCGGGTACGTCGGTGTGTGCGGCCGGCACACGGTACGTACACCACGCTACGCCACCGTGTCTCTGATATTCTAATTCCACCCTCGTGTATTCCGGCCGCTCTCGTCCCCCCCGTCTCTTCCCGCCGTCGTCGCCACCGCCGCCGCCACGCGCGCGCAACTTCATCCTTCGCGATTTTCATTAGGGTAACGCGCCGCGTAAATCCGCGCGCCGCTTCAATTTTTGCCCCTTCCACGCCGACTCCGCTCTTCTCCCCGGCCTTATCCTCTCTTTCTCTCTCTCTCTTGCCTCATTCTTTTGTTCGCTCCGTCCTACGGATCATCGCCTTTCTACGTCGTTACGCGATATCTTTCCCTTCTCTTGTCGCAATACCGCCAACCATGTCGCGCTTCTAGGGATTTGATTGATACGCTTGTACTCGATTTATTTGTAGGATGTACTGTAGATTAGTAGGTTGTAATCAGTGTTACAATTTTTGTGAGTATATTTAGTTGTAGTTTAAAAAAAGCATACAATATTTAATTTGAGAATGCGGAGAACTCTACAAAGAATCTATCTTTAATGGAACAGATATTTTCATCTTTATATTTGCTATTTGTGTAGGTTTTCTTTATTTATGGTTTATATTTTTGCTTTGCAAATGTGAGAAGTGTATTTTCGAGGCAACTATATTTAGTTCTCAAAAATACAGTACAGGAGGAGTGATATAACTAAAGTTAACTTGTTTTTCCCAGGCAACTTCATCTTTTATTAAGATGTTTGTTTGTCGCTCTAATTTATAACGCTCCGAAACTCTTTTATCCACGGCATTGGGAAAAACAAGAAAGAAGAGCATTAAAAAAAATTGTCCCCCGATATCAGTTTGAACGAAAATAAACAATCGGTGCTGACAAACATTTGACGCGCTCCAATTATTATGCGCGAATCATCGCTCGTTGCATTCTTCGAATTCCGAGTCGTCTTCCGCTCGATTGCTCGCAGGAGCTTCATATTTTTATCATGGCAACTTGCGGCGCATCGTCGGTGAATTAATTCTCCGGAGTGCAGCTTGAACGAGAGGTGGCTGCCGAGCGTCGTCCCATCAACCCCTATACTTTGGGAATAGGAGAGGAGGGGAAGAGAGTTAGTGCCGCTCCGTATCGTCGAAAACAGACGGGGTGAGCGAAAAACTCCGAATCCCCGGGTCGTCGGAAAATTAATTTGATTTCCGATACGCGAATGTAATGATCGAGCGGGCCGTGGAGAGGGGAGGGAGGGAAAATTCGATGGTACCGGATGAGGGGCGAAAAAAAAGGGGGATAGAACGAAAAAAACCTTATCGAAAACGGGGCCCGGGGTCGTCGCGCATCTCCGATCTGCCCACGAACGGGAAGACTTTCCAATTATCTATGTTTTTTCTCCGCCGCGTTTTTTCGCGCTGCAACAAATTAAACGTAACCCACATCCCTGGGGCACGCTTCTCGATTACTCTTTGTTTTCCTCCTGTTTCCACAGTTCGCCGTTTGCTTTCCGCCCCGTGCTCGCGCGCGCGCTGGGGTATGCCTGGCAGATTGCATTTCTATCCCTCTGCGCTGCGTTGTCCTTCCCTCGACAAAAAAAAAAAAAAATTTTTTTTTCATCAACACTCGCAAAATTTCGCGTCGTGACGCTTCGACCGTGACGGATGTTCGATTGGCATTGCCGTGACTGTTCCTTTATGCGTAGAAAATACCATTACAGAATTCTAGAAGTAAAATATTATTTTATATAAATATAATCCTTTTTATATCTATAAATAATATTTAGGAATAATATGTAAATAATATTTAGAAATAATTTTTTATTATATTTATTTAAACTTATTATCTTATATTTATCAATATTTTCGAACATTATTTACAAATAATACGCGAATAAATCAATGATATTTTATACATAATATTATTGTAATAATTTACGTTATAATTTTACGTATTCGAATATGTGGGACACCGTGAAAACTGAGGAAGAAAAATCTCGCCGTGCAATTCGCGAACGGTCGGTTCACACCCGGCGCAATTCACACCGGCTTATTAATTATCCGTTAATTATCCGCGGGCGCGGCGTGTAAATTTCTGCGAGGCGAGTCAAGAGAGCGGATGCGAATGAAAAAGGAAAATGGGGATGGGAAGAGAGGCGAGAGAGCGACAGGCCGAATCGCGGAGTGCATTCAAAAAGGAGAGCGCGAAAGGAGGATGATGGAGAGAGAGAGGGAGTGAGCAAGAGAAAGAGGAAAGGGGCGAAATGTCGAGAGCGACGAGCGAGGTCGTCCGATCACCCTATCAAAGGCTCGCTACTAAAAGATCCATATCGAGTAACCGGAGGGGCGAAATTATCGGTACAACTCCTATTATTGGGTTCCGAGGTACGTGAAAATAGAAAATGAGAGGGTAGATGAGATCGATATCCGCGGAAGTTCTGCCGTCGTTGAGAGAGAGAGTTTTCTCGTTATTTGATTATCGACTTACGCCCCAATATCTTTTCTCCAACCGTCCAAGTCAAACTTCGTGCCTCGCTTAAAGACGTCCTCGACGCGAATAAACGCCGACACATTGCTGTGTGGTAATTTAATTGAATAGATTTGAAAATTCAGTTAATAATTCATGTAGTCTAATTGCGATAATCACATATGTTGATGTGATAAAATAAATGTGATAAAAGAATCGTCGTATTATGGATACGATTATAAAAATGAAAATATTATTTTTATAATATTTATATCATAATTAAAATTTTTTATAAGAATAAAATGTTTGCAAGAGATACGTCACACACACTTTTGCATAAAATATTAGTTGTACTCTGAATGTTATAAATATGATAAATTTTTATTTTATAATTGCATAATAGAATCTCTCGTCTTCTTTATTTTTATGGTCACAAAATATAATATCGCACAATAAAAACCGTGATAAAACCGCAAAATCTAGCATACGTGTTTATTGCGATAAATAAATGATTATTTTTCATTGCTCAATGTAGCATTGGTCACGCGTGTGTTTTTTACGGGCGACAAGGACTTCGAGGAAGCGAATTATCGAGTCACCGTGTTTGCTGCGCGATACGATCGCCAAGCAGAACCAGCATGCACACAGGCGTAGACAAGGCGCGCCGGGATCGTTTTGCAAGGAGGAAGGCTTCGCGCGCGCCAAGTTCGCCGAGCGTAGTTATCGACTGCATTATTAAGTCGGTATATTTCCGTGGCCGATGCTATCGATCTCCGGGCTGGGTATCTCTCGGCCTGGCCTAGTATATATATTGTCTTCTTTCTCTTTCTTTCCTTCTTTCCTTTTTTTCCGACAAACTGCCTCCCCTGAAGCCATTCGTCTCCGAACGAGAGCGGCGGACACGCGCGGCGCTAAGCGACAGCCACTAACCGATTTACGATCGTGCAAGCGTATCCACCGAACTGCATCGCGTACGCTCGGATGCAGTTCACCGAGACATATGTACGTGCTGGATCGAATGGCCACCGCTACGGCCCTTCTCTGTCGCATCCTCATCCGCAGAAATTCACCCACGAGAATGCGGACAGTGCGAGAAGATCGCATCGGCCAATTCATCGACCGTTCCAAGCGATTCGATGCGCCTCGAGAATTCCACACTTTGGTGTATGAGCTATTTTAAGTTTGCTGGAAAAAAAATGGGATTTTGAACTTTTAGCATTATATATTTTTTTAACATAAAAATAAAAAAAATACGAATATAACAATAAAATTAAAACGGTTGCACAAATGTAATTTTTTTTTCATGTATTTTAAGACTTTAGAAAGCGGCAAAAGTGTCAAAAATTCGTTTGATCGATAATCAACCGTAGCTAAATAATTTATGGTTGCACCCGCATGCGTTCACATACGACTCGAATGCAGTCAACTCAGTTTGAACGTAGAACATTTTTATGGCTGACACTTAAAAACGCAATAATCTTTCGAAACTCGTCTCTCGCGAGTTTATAGCCGTGTGTCGTTTAATATTTTAATCGTATAATGCTTTATATCTGAAAAATATAGCATTGTTTCTTTTTTGTTACAGTACTATGAGATGTCGTACGGCCTCAACGTTGAAATGCACAAGCAGGTAAGTTTACGCTAATACGATTTTCGGAATAACTAATCTTCTCGATCTGGCGATTTAAATGTATAAAATTATGAGTAATATTTCTCTTCTAAAGATGTAAGGGTGATAACTTGTTGTATGACTTAAAACTAACAGAATATTATGCTTAAACAAAAAAAAAAGTATCTTCGAATATTGTCAGAAAGTATCCTAGATTCGTCAAACTATCGCGTTCGTTTGAATTGCAAGATCGGATATGTGATCTTTAACTAGCCTTGCGCGGAGTTAATCAAGATCACATTCAACGGCGTTAAGGACCCGAGCAGGTCCCTCGTTAATTGAGTTCGGGGAGTATGTCAGTGGATCGTCGGAATCGGCCGCGGCCGCAAATGAGGGGCGCGGGCGACGGACGCGTTTAGGCCGGGAAATCGTGTAATTTCGGCTAATCAGGGGAAACAGCGGCGGGGCGGTCCCCTCTGTCAGCAATTTTCTTAAAAGCGACCACGGGTAGCCCCACGGCGTCGCGCGGCCATGCTCAAAAGTGGGGCTCCTGAACTCCAAACAACCCTCCTGCCGCCCCGGCACAACGAGCTGATATTCATTAGCATTAGCGGCCGATCATTTCTCACCCTCGTACCCCGAGGCGGCGCTTAATGGGCTGAGGGCCGAGACGCGCGCGGGGAATTACCTTCTCTCGGATAGTTATAGGGCGTAGCACGGTGAGATCACCGCGGAATTGTTTCCGGCGAATAATGCACGGAGAAATCAGGGCGTCCCTTTAAAAAAAGTGACGCTATTTCAATCGGCACCGCTGATTTACGCGACGTAAACTTCAAAATTTGTCTCTTAAAATCAGTCTCGGAAAAACAAGGCTATTGAATTTGATTTGTTTAATGACGAAAATTGGAAATGTGATATCTTAAATATAATTAATTAATTATTATAATTGAATTGTCTATCTCGGAAATATAATGTGACATTTAAGCAAAAATAAATTTCTTCTCTTACCTAATTTAGAAATCTCAAAATCTATTTTTTGATACTTACATTACTTTTTGAAATAACAAAAATCGAGTTTGTGCGTTAGTGAGCGCGATAGAAGATTCTGAAAGATCCATAAATTCGTGGGATAATAATACTCTTTGTCCGCTAATAAAAATTGGAAAAGTAAGACCATTCCGGATCGCTGAGAAAATCAAGTCAGAGGACACCGCGACTGCACAAATTGCAACGGAGATAATGTAACGCGGCGGATTCACTTCTCTGATGCTAATTGAAAGAGAAATGAAAAGTTATCGGTTCTTTGCGACTCTCTCTCTAATTAACCGTGATAATATCACGCTGGCGCTATGCGCTCATGGACGACGCGCGATTAAATATCTCTGCCAGCTTATTTACATTAATTGCCATCTTTCGAGCGTATCCAGACAATCATCGCGCGCTGTGCATAAAATCAGATATGACGTCTTGAAGAAAATAAACTCGACAGATTTCTAAAAACAGCTTATTCTGCATGATAAAAATAATGCAGCATATCTTTATTTTTGTTAGTAAAGTTATAAAATTATAATCTGTATTCTAAAAATTATAAGAGTTCAATTTATAATTAATTTTTTTTCTTAATATCAAACGGAACTTATTATTTTATAATTTTATAATTTTACATATAAAATAATTTTACATATAAAAGTTACGCATACTTCGATATATTAGTTAAAAAAAACTTGAAAATTGCTTAAAGAATTCGTCGTCAAAGTTAAAAGAAGGCTCTAGGTTTTATACATGCAATTACAGGATTACGCTTTATTGCTTCGCCGATCCTCTCGTCCTTTTCATCCATTGTCAACGACTTAATGGACACCCCAAAAATGTATTTATTACTTTCGTCCCGAGATTCCGCGTCGCGTCAGTCGGCCCTCCCGTCTCTCTCCCCTCGGCCGGCAAAAAATAAATAAATCCAACTCCCTTCAGGCGGTTCCCGCCACTTAGCCGGCTTTCGAGTCGCGGTTTTCTCGCTCCTTTTCAATTTGAGTCCTCGAATGAAAACAATCTTCCCCTACGAGGTTAGAACCTTCTGTATCTCTCTTCGTCTCGTCTCTTTTTCCCGTTTTTCGCCACCCCTTTCGTTTTTACCCTTTTCACTCACCCTCGCTTCTCTCTGCCCTCGTTTCTCTCATTCTCTCTCGCTCTCTTCTTCTCGATTTCCCGTTCGCATCTCCTCGTTGTGTTCTTCTCCATTCTGTTAGCCCGTCACTCCCCCGCGCTCGGAACGCTAGCCATCCCTCGCATCTGCGACCCTCGTATCTCCTGCCGCAGCTCGAAGTCGACATTTGCCTCTCACCCACCCTACCGTGAAGCCCGCAGCCACCACTTTACCACTCTCTACTCGACTAACTCGAATTTGTTGGCAATGTCCCAGTTCTTGTAGGTACGATTACTTCTCCCGCTCCATCCGTCTCACCCTCTATAGCGGTAGTCTTGAGTTTTCTCTCTCGGTCACCCTTGCTCGCGAACATTGGCTCGCTCGTTCGATTTAATTGCGCGATATAGACCGTGTCCGATTGCTCGCCGGGATTTTCGATTCCTCTCGTACGCGGTAACGGAATAAAGTTCCAAAATCCTCCTTTGACACGCCACTTTACGCGGATATCTTTTACGGGGAAAAATCTTGGAAATCCTTTTCGATCGTTGGACATCGTTGGGGAACCCTCTTCAAAATTGTACCGCTTTTAATTCTCAAATTAATGCGATATCGTCCGATAATATCGCCGATGAAACGTTTTTATTATCAATCGTCCTATTGGGTTCTCGTGCTCGTCGGATTCCATCGTGCGATCTTCACGGGAAATGAGATTTGCAGTCGACGCGGCGATAGAGAAAAATGGGCGGCTTGCAAAAAGCGTCGGCGGCTACGACAAAAGAAAAGCGCGGAAGAGAAGAGGGGTGGGATAAACCGGGCGAATCGGCGTGGCGGCGGGGTGTGGGGGCGAGACGGAAAGGCGGGGGAGAGGGGGCTAAAAACACATCGCGACGCGACTGGTCGCGCGTTACGTTCTCGCCCCGTTCATCCATCGAGTCGTACGTACGTACGTACATACGTACATTCGGCCGCCGGCGTATCTGGCCCGATAACGCTTATCGCTTAATTGAAAGAGCCGTCCTACCGGCGCTGGTCGTTGTCCCGCTCGATTAAGCCGCGATCCACGGCAATATGTCGCGGATACGTTACGCGCACGCGATGGCGAAACCGGGTCATTACGAGGTTTGGAAAGTTGCGGAGGAGCCGGGCAAATCAGAAGAGCGGCTGAGCAAGGAAGTGGAATGAGAAAAATTCATTCCGCAATAATGTTTACCGATGTTTCAATATTATCTGTCAATATTTTAATAGCTATGTTGAATTAAAAAAATATACGAATAACAGATTAAGAAAAGATGAAAAAATTTAATTTTGCTCTATTCTTATTAATTCTCATGGTATTTATTTTTGTATCTTTCGATTCTACAGGCAGCTCGTTACATTTGCCGTGTAAAATAAAAATTATTCTAAAAAAGAGATTGAGTAGCGATGACTTTTCCGTTCTCGAAATGAATCAAGCCACGTTCAGAGATTGTCACGAGTTACATCATTTCTAAACGCGAGAATACTCTCGGCGGGTGGACATTTCGAGTCGGCGACGGCATTCTACCGAAAAAGCGCATATCTCTTTGAAAGAATATTGCCGCGGCGTTGTTGCTGGCCGTTGTTCGTCGATACGAGAGTAACTACCATTTCCCATCGCGGGTACGCCCCGGCGCCCGATAAAAAATGTGCAGGCTGACCAATTGCATATAACTCACCCTGCTTTTCCAGTTCTTCCTGCCTTCATGCATATATACGTCTATCTATCCGTGCGTTCTGCCTTCTGCCCTCTCTCTGGTCCTCTCTCTCTCGCTTTCTCTCGCTTCCTTTTTTTTGTTCGTTCTCTCACTCCTTTTCTCTTTCGGTACGCATCCCCCTCTCGCTCCCCGTCTCTCACGTGCTCTCTTTCGGCGGTCGGGGGTCGCTTTTCCAGCGCTCTCTCGCCCGTACACACGTGTCGGCGTGCGAGCGAAAGAACGCGAGTGTGTATACGCGCTTTCTCTCGCTCGCTCGCTCGCTCGCGCTTGCTCGCACGGACACCTACGCCGCGCGCGCATACACCATCCTCGGGGTCGTGTATTCGAGTTCTTTTATTTTGCCCTGTGGAGGTAGCAGAGGGTTGAGTCGAGCGTGAGCGGAGAGAGCGCGAGGGCTGGGGGCGATGACATCGATTTTTTACCCGTTGCTAATCTCAATGTTACCTCCTCCTCCTCCTCCTCCTCCTCCACTACCTCTACCTCCACATCCACCACTTCCTCCTTCTCTACCACCCGTTCGGTCATCTCCATCCCCCTCCTCATCCCCCCGTCAACTCACTTCGTTCACCCGCCCGCCGCCTCCGTTCATCCCGCACCCCGGCCATCCGTTTTGCGGGAAAACGTGCATGTGCATCGGGCACATTCGAGAAGGAATAACCATTTTTTCGTGCCGGACAACACTCGCTCTCCGCGTCGCCCGCGTCCTGCAAATTCTCCTCGTCTCCCAACCGCCGCCTCCGACCACCTCGCGCAATCTCCCCCTCCCCCGACACCATTCCCCGCGAGTCCTCCTTTTTTCGTCGAACCTTTTTCGTCGCCCTTCTTCTACACACCCACAACCTACCCATTCCACGCCCGCCCACCCCCTTTGCCACCTACTGTCGAACAGGGCGAAATCGAACTGACGTGGACGCGGCAGTTTTCCATCTTTCTGTTCCCCGCGGGAGCGATGACATTTTTTTTCGGTCCCTCAACTTTTAGATCTACGCGCCCGATTCGCCTGACGTGGAAATATCGCCGGAGCGATATCGCCGCGGCGGCGTCTCTGTCGATTGCGAGCCCGCCACTAAATAATTATGCGCGGCCTCACCTTCGCTAATTTATCGTCGCGAGTTCGTAATGATTGAATGAAATAATTTAGTCGATTAAGTCGCAGCTACAGATTTTTCGATTATAAAACTCGTTATTATTTCATATTTAAGGATATAAAAATAAGTATCATTTCCAGATATAATTCCCAGTGTGCTCTCGAAAAGAGAGAAACTTATTTTAGACTTGATTAGATCACTATGATTAGATAACGGCTTGCAAATACGCTTTTCATATCGCTGTCATTCGAAAGTCACGTGGCGGTCGTGAGCTCAATCGCGAATCGATTCGATCGACACACATTAATGAGTAACCACCCCCTTGTATGTTATACAAGGGTGAGTTGAGCCGTGCTCGTATGTTCGTCGAGCAGTCGTCGTCGCGACACGTGATTACCAACGACGTAAACCCGAACACTGTGATATCCTGTACGTTTCACACACACACACACACGCGCGCGCACGCACACACACACACACACACATGTATCATTTGAATCGCATTCGCCTCCCTCGCATTGCACAGCCGGCCTCGATTTCTCAATTAATACCCCGAATTATTCAAAGTATAACCGCGTGTGACGTTAAACCTGGGCGTGCGATATTAAGTTCCGAATAAATTTCCGGTGTTACTTGCGCAATTTTACAAATGGATCGGTCATTCCGAAAGCGACACGAGTTGTTCCGTAATTTTCGAAAATGGAGGTAGTTAATGGAATCTGTAATAAAAGCGTATTCGCGGTGCGTATAAAAACAAATTCGTGTCAGGAATTATTATCTAGACATTATTCTCTCGCTTTAGTATCGTGCTTTACACGCGGAGAAAAAGGATTTTGTTATCGCAGCTATTGCATATTCAATGTGAAAACAATCAAACACACACTTCGCTACCACAATCAATTATTTGACATTACAGCAAAATCTGTTTTTTAAAATATCTTGCTGGACAAATTTATTTAGAAATGGAAACAAAAATCAGCATTTTCCGTTCAAGCGAAATATTTTATCTGTAGCAAATACATTTTGCCATTGCAGTGAAATAATTTATTTTGCAATTTTTATTATGCAATGATATAACGTACAGATTTAGCAAAATTATTTTTATATAGTCTAACAAATTATATTTATTACAATATTAAAAATTTTAATTTTTTTCTCCACGTAGACATAATATGTTCCCCGTATTTTTTTTTAAATTACAATTTTTTTTGTACTTTTGTTATTATTATTATTGCAGTGACCAATGAGGCAAATTATTTAACAAACATTTGATACGAAATTTACGTTTATTTGATTGTCCGATATTATGTGTTTGCAGACTGAAATTGCCAAGAGGCTGAACGCGATAATCGCGCAACTGCTTCCGTTCCTAGCGCAAGAGGTGAGTCTTTGACTTTCTGTTTGGCACGCGTGCCGCGCGATCTCACAATCGAGTGTGACGACGACGCGATAATGATAGCATGACATTGCAGCATCAGCAGCAGGTGGCCAACGCCGTTGAGAGGGCAAAGCAAGTCACCATGTCCGAATTGAATGCCATTATCGGGGTAAGTGGTCGCGTTCTTGCCATTAACTTCCTACGTCATCGACTTTAACGATGGAGATCGCAGATTTGTGTCACGATAGAATCCTTTATATAAATAAATAGTTCGCGAGCTAGTGAGAAACTTAATTTTATAGTTGAATATATGCTATTTGAATGATCTTTCTGACTTTTGCAGCAGCAACAGCAACAAGGTCTCCAGCAACTATTGGTGAGTGTTTTACGCCCCTTTTAAAATGCAATTTAATTTTCTATATTTATAATAAACTTCTCATTAATTGTTAAATGATGATTTGGAATTATACTACGCGATTGTTCCATAACCCAAAGTTTTGCAATGCATTGTGACATATTGTTGATGTAACAATCACAAATTGCTGTTAACAACGATGGAAATAATTTAATATGTTGACTGCCGGGCAGATTATTCGATTAGCTTTATAGTGAGCTAACTAGAAATTATACATCCATTATTATGTAAAGAAGTGCAATTTTGCAAAACTCGTTACTCCCTTTAATCAGCTTCTTATCAGCAACTACCTCACATCGGCAATGCATGCAACTCTCTAAACACTGTTGCGTGCGTTTAATGCGATAAGTTAATATCATCGACGGCCTATGCGGTGCTCAACGTGTTAATAGAAATAAATTTTAAATTGAAACGTAAAATGTACATTTAATATGAAAAAAAAAAAAAAAAAAGAAAAAGAAGATGAAAGGAAAGTCGATTGTGTATTGTTACAAGATATTTTTATTTCAATATCGCAGCAACAGATCCATGCGCAGCAACTGCCCCATGGCGCGGTGGTCGGCGGTCTTCCGCCAGGCGGTCTGCTAGGCTTCGCAGGTGCGGCCGCGGCGGCCGCAGCCGCGGGTGTGCCGCCGCACTTGGCGCCGCCGCCGCATCCCGCGGCCGCGGCTGCGGTCCAGGCACAGGCGCAAGCGCTTCTGAAGCCCGCCGATCTGCAGCAACATCGCGCGGCCGCGGAGACACCTGAGGACCGTAAACCGATCGCACTGCCGGACGAGAGGCTCGGCCACCGTTCGGTCTCACCGCCTGAGAAATTTCGCAGCCGCACGCCCGACCTCGAGAGCGACCCCAAGAGACGAAAGGAGGAGAAGTTAGGACATGTGAGTAGCAATACCGATTGTGAAACTATTCGACGCGATTCTCGCACCGTTCGCGACGCGCCGATGCGCTCGAATCAGTCGGCGATCCGACCAGCACTTGAGTCGATCCGACTTGAGAGAACTTTCGGTAAAGTAGCTATTTATTATACGAATGCTTGCGAATGCACAGGATGATTTTATTACAATTTCAATCTCTGATCGAATGTTTTTGAATCAAATAATAGTGGATTCTAAATTAAATTTCAATAAAAAAAAAGTATATATATAAAATTGCAAATCGTTGAAAGAGGAACATTTTGTAATATGATAGCCTGACAAAGCTCGCGGCGCTTTTTCCTTTGAATGAGACATCAGAGGGGGGGGGGGAGTTAACGCATCGATAGCAGATGCGTGCTGTTGCATTGAATATTGCTCGTTGGTCAGTGCACACTTAACTCCGGCATAGACCCGGCGTAGGAAGAGTAGCGGCGTCACGGCGGACGGCGCGTTAGCCGAGAATTAAAATGCTAATTGCAGCGACGTCGAAAGCCGATAAAACGGCCGCCACTCTCGGTGGCCGAAGCGAGCTCGACGAGGGGGACGGGGATGGAACAAAGAGGAGCGCGCGTGAGCGAGCGAGCGCGTTATATCGCCAGAAAGTAAACGCGAGAGTAATAAGAGGGCCGAGTTTAGGATCGAGTTCGAGAGCCGCGCGAGAAAGGATAGGAGCGTCGATATTAACTTCCACTTAACCGTCGAATCCATCATGGGAAAAAAGAGAGAGAGAGAGAGGGAGAAAAAAAAGATGGAAAGTATCGTCGATGTAGTCTCGTCGTGTGCCACCCATCTCGGCTACTCTCCCCGGCGGAAGCGAGCGTCCCGACGTGCGCGCGAACCAAATGCAATCATGCGTCGCGGAAGTTTCCGTCGAAATTGGATTACCCTCGTTCGCCGCAAAGGCGGAAAAAAAGGACCTGACCTGACCTGACCCGAACTCCTGCCGGTCAGGCGGAATCCTAATCTGCGGGGAGTCGAACGCGGACGTCTATTTCGCTTCGCGTCAATCTGTAGCGAAATTTCGCAAAAAACTGTTGTTTCTTCGTTCGGAATCGCGCGACGGTAAAGCGCGACCTCCTTACGAGACGTAAACACATTATGACGGGAGGGTGACAGGAAGGGAGGGGAAAATACGATGGGAGCGTGGAGGAGGAGGGAGGGAGGGAGGGAGGGACGGTATAATTAAAAACCGTGAAAACAGGCGAACAGTTAGCCGGGTCGTCGTGCTCGCACCGACTAAATTGGATTATTTTTCTCAGCTGCTCCCTCATCCCCTTCACGCGCCTCGCTTACTCCCCCTCTCTTTATCTCTCTTTATCTTGCCCTGCCTCTTCCGGTGTTCTTCTTTCGGCGCTTCTTTCGCGCTGATTAGAGCGTTCTCGCGCGAATACATCAGTCTGTTGTGTTTTTTTTTCTCCCTTTTTTCCCTCGCGCGACTGTATCCATAGATTTGCATTAATCATTTGTTCAATTTATTTAATTGACGTCATAAAATCGTTGAGAAGTGCGGCAGTTATCTATTACACGGGATGAGTCGCAATTCAAACGGGTTATGCCTCTTTTACGGTTGATGATGGCAAAAAGTGGTGGAGAAAAAAGTTGAATGGTTTAACGATAGCTAATCTCCTATGCTATTATCTTTGATAGATTCGAATTGCGTAATTTCGCTGTACGCGCGACTGAGGGAAAAGAAATAAATTATCCACGGAATAGGTGGAAAACAACAATATATTTTATCAGGTTATTTAATTAGATAATATAAAGTAAATAAAAAGAATTAACTGCGGAAGTAATTTGAAGCAAGAATACGATGTGCTTTGTTCGTCCATCTGCCGCTTTAACTGTCGCGGAACGTATTTCCCAACGGTCATACACCGCGTCCTGATAACTCTAGGCCAACACTGTTAAAATGCTTGTGACACGGACAACCGTGCAGTTGTCGCGGCCAATAGCCGCCGGTGGGGATCCGGCGGAAAGCAGCGCGTCTTTCCTCCAACTTTCTCCGCGCTCCCGCATTATCCTTCCTTCTTTCTCGAGGCACTAACGACGCGTCGTTTACACGGGCAATCCCTTCGGCCCCAAGAGTGCCGGGAAGTTTGTTTGAAGTTGAAGCGCCGGTCAGACCCCAGTCATCAACCGCATTTCCCCGCAGCCGCGTTCAACTCACGATAAACGAAACGATTTTGTAGCGCTATTAACTTTTTATTTTATAGCTAAATAATATAGCTTACGGAATAAATATAGTGAATTCTACATATGCATATTTAATTTTGATATATTTAGATATTTATGAGATAAATGTTGAAATACTGTAGAAACAGTCACTGATACTTTGATGAGATTGCTCTTTTTATATTTCTGCGGTTAATATTTCACTCCTTTTTGGCGATTGATTTACTTTTTATTTTTTCTTAATAATTTATATTCTTTTTTCGTGTATTTTTTAATCACGGGATCCTCGAAACTACGAGACTTAAAACGCGTGTTTCGCGAACTTATTGTGAAATCCGCTACTGTCGTCGACGCGTGTCCCGGGTGCCGAATGACCCGACCGAGAACGCGGGCGCTTCCGGTCGTGTGTAATTCATGAGTGCGACGAAGACGAAGGGAGAAAGAGCAAGAGAGATTAGCGCGCATCCGGAAATGAGTTCTCGCTCGTGTCCACGTTCGAGTTCTTAGGACTGCTACCTATACGTGCACACCGAGAAAGGATTAGTCGTAGCACGACGCACCACCACCACCATTATCGCGCCAACACCCAAGCTTCATCTCCGAGAAAGCATTAATCAAAGAAGCAACTGTACGTCCTGTTTCCGTCGCGACGAAAGCAGCTGCCGGAACCCCATATGAAATCGCTATGTCGCGGGAAAAGGGGTTTATTTTGCCTTACAAAATCGTGATCGTTAATGCAAGTAAACGCTTTTTGTAAATCCAAAATTCTCAACAAAGATTACTGAAAAAAAAAAACATTCTAATAGCAGTTCCTCTTAATTCGATACTTTATTTTCTGTAATTTGTTAACTTTTTAATAATTGTGTGCAATACAATATTATTTTGAAATAAAAATAACATGCGAACATAGTTTGAGATAAAATTAACTAACGGTACTTGCATAGAAATCACTTGAATTCGAGGATAATGATCCAGTTTTCGTCTGCTGAATATAACTGCTCTTACTGCGTAAATGGCGGGACGTCGGATTGTGTCTGGGTGTCTGATTGTGCCCCCATTTTCCCCGTAATCGTCATCCCTGGCGTTACTACGTTACGAAGAGAGGGCGAGGCAAAAAAGATTCCCGATAAAATCCTGGGATCTACCTCGCGCGCCCGCGGCGGTCTCGGTAACGCGACGGAGCATAGTGCTCGTTGTGAAATAACGTTTCAAAAGCGTGTCGGATGGCAAAGTGCATTTTTCATAGCGGCCGAAATGAAATTGAAGACGGCGAGTCTCAAACGTGTTAAATGGCAAATTGCGAAATTTTCACTACGGCGCACGAGAGAGAAATGTACTCTTGTACAATGAAGTAACGTTGGAGTAGAGTGCTAGAACAGCCCAATTAATCGTTCAATTAGAGCGTTCGAAGATCGGAAAGTAATAAGATAATCCAGAATCTTGTCGGCAACGCGGCAACTGTTTCTTTCAAAATTTATTGGCTCCTTTGAATTCTTTCCTGCTTATACTTTTCCGGATATCGATACTTTTACCAGCGGTATCGCACATTTATTTGCCGTAACATTGAATGTACAAGTTCTCAGCTTCCACGGGATTAATCGGAATGTGCGCGCGCGGCATTAGGCGCGCTAATGAATGGTAGGAGTCGGCGGATTGCGAGGGGGTGCAATCGATGCCGGGTGTTTACGAAGACGGCGTTTGAGGCCGGCCGGTTTAACTTTGTCCCCCGGTCCGTAGAAACGTGCAGACATCGGGACGCGCATAGATGTGCGGTAGATTCATCTGGTGGGAATCCAGGCGGCGCGAAAGGGTGGCCGATACGGATAGCGAGAAAGAGAGAAGGATAGCGGGAGCGCAGGCGGCGGAGATGGAGGAGGTTGGCGGCGGAGGAGGAGGGGGAGTAGTAGTAGAGCTGGGACGGGTTGGGATGGGTGGGTGGTTGAATTTTTCATCTGACCACGTCGAACCAATTAAAGCGGACCACGGTACCCAATCTCCACCTCCAACCTCTTCCACTTTTTTCGTTCTCTCTTTATTTCCGCCCCGCGTGCTGGCCTTTATCCACCTCCTCGCCGCGCCGCCACCCCCGCGCGAGCGCGAGAGAGCCGTTCTCTTTCTCGGATCCTGCCCTCTCTTCCCTTTCGCTCGCCCGCTCTCGTCGCGCACCCGTCCAAAACCCTCCCCCCCTCTCCTCCCCCTCGGCGCCGCGCATCCACCGCCTTCCAGCATCCTCCGTCTTCCTCCTCCCGCCACGTCCGCTCGCTCACTCTCCAGCAACTCGTTGGATTTTTTCGCGTCACGAGGCGGTGTAATTTATTTGGCCGAGGTAGAGAGGCACCCGCAGAGGTGGTCGACGGAGCGAGCCGGGGGTTGGGTCGGCGGTAACGGGGGGGGCCACGAGGGGGAATACCGCGGGAGAATAGGTGGAGGTGGCAGAGGTGAGGCACGGCACGGAGGCGGAGGTGACGCGGCCAGAATGAGAGCACGAGGGATAGCGCGCGGGCCAACGCGGGGGGGTGTGTGGGAAGGGGCTGGTTTCAGTTTATTTTGTGGGTCCTACCTACCCGCTCGTCACTGTCCAACCCCGTTGGTCAGTCGGTACGTTGTTCCCGCTCTCTCGGTCTCGCTCTTCTTCTTCTCTAGCGGCCGCTCCGTTCCCTCTTTCGTTTTTGTATTCGCACTCCCGCCCCCGCAGCCTGCCGCTCGCCCAGCACGCTCTTATACGTATCACCGTTCTTTTTCTCTCTCCCTCCCTCCCTCCCCCCCTCCTCTCTCTCTCTCGCCCTCTCTCC